CCCAGCCTCAATGGCTTGCATCCCAGCCTCAATGGCTTGCATCCCAGCCTCAATGGCTTGCATCTCTTTTTAAATGGCTAAAGCCAACATGGCTTTGGTGCCTTATTTTCTATAGCCTGCATGGCTTACTGCTTTGGAAGCCCTTGGTGGCTTTGAGTGATCAAACAATAGCCTTTATGGCTTCCAAGCCTGAATGGCTACTTGTGTACTGATTGTATTGGAATGTGTAGAAATAGTGTTTTTGTTGAACATAATTGAACTGACATTTCAGTTATTTGATGTTATCAGTATGTTATCATACAAATTGGGTAAAACTCATTTTTGTATGTTAAAGAAACCAGGTGTGCTTGAGAACCAGTGTAAAAGAATAGTGTATATGTTCCAACTATTTCATGTCACTACATGACTGCCAGGCTTTAGGTTTACAGTGAATGAGTGACTGAAACAGTGAAATGGTGACTGAATGGCAATGGATGCTCCTCACAAGCTGTTGGATATTCATCACTTGTATTGGGGCACAAAGCTAGTGTTCAATGGAGCTGATGTAATGAAACTTAGATTGTTTGAGATTGATTTTTTATTTAACTGTTTATTATGTAAGTACCTTTGTTCAGAGCAGTCTCCTGGACCAAACCATGCCTCAGGATTTTCAAGAATGAGTACTACAGCAATGTCAAATACTCTATGTGGAAGTGGGTGGGGAATACAAGATGGAGAGTGGCCTACTTCAGCAATGGTTGGGAAAGCTGGAGTCTTGGATGACTTAACATTGGGTTAGTGGAAGAATGTAGTGCAGCCAATAAGACCAACTAAGGATCAGTGAAGATGAACTGAGTAGATTGGCTTATGAGTGGATTGGGACTATTAGCAGGATGCATTTCACTCCATGTAAGGTTTTACCGACACCTCACTTTGAGTGAGAATGCACGCCACTGGATGTGGAAAATCAAAGCAAGCTGTCAGGTGCAGTGTGTTTAGATGTTTCCAACATACTGGAAGCCCTGGTGGCTATGTTCTTTGCAAGCCTCAATGGCTTTAGGATAGTAGCCCAAGTGGCTTTTGTAAAAAGCCTCAATGGCTAAGCTAGTTTATGTAAATGTTTTTCCTGAAGCCTTCATGGCTAGTATAGCCCAAGTGGCTTTGACAGTTTATGTTTTTGAATTGTTTAAGCCCAAGTGGCTTTCTTAAGCTTCACTTGTGTCACACATGTTTGCAATCAGTTGCATTTTGCTCATTTGCTGCAGTGTAGGACACAACCTTGCTATGAACAACATTTGTCTAAACAATGGTTTGTATACATAAAAAGGAAAACTTACACAAACTATAAACTGTTTCAAAAATATTTTTTACACTTATTGATGTCTAAAATAGCTTGAACTAAAACAATTCTCTAAGTCAATAAAAGAAATAAATATTATTAGATTTGTTTCAAATACTTAAAAAGACTTATATTTTTAAGAAAATATAGATTTTAATATCTAAATTCTATTTTTTCAATTCAAAACTTTAAATTAAGATTCTTAATTTAAATTTTAGTATTTGGAACTTTAAATTAAGAATCTTAACTTAACTTTTTATTCAACAAGAGTTAAGTTAAGATTCTTAATCTAACTTCTGGAATATTGAAAGTTAAGTTAAGATTCTTAATCTAACTTCTGGAAAAGCAAAAGTTAAATTAAGAATCTTAACTTAACTTTTGGAAAAGTAATTCCTAAATTAAGAATCTTAATTTAACTTTTGAAGGTCAAGACTTTAAATTCTAAATCTTATCATAGAATTTGTAAATCAAAAAAACATAAAAATATAGAATTAACCATATTTTTTATGTTATTCACACACAGATTATGCAAATAAAGTTTGTTAATGCTATAGTACAAGCTAGTACAAGCAAACAAAACACCATACTACAAACAACCTTTTGCCTTAGACAGTTTCACCTAACAATATTGAGCCAATAGTGCTCGATATTGCATGAGTGCAGCTATGGATGCTACTACTTCTGAGGCTGCATTGAAGCAATCCTCCAATGTACCTGGAAAAGGTGAAGAAGAAGACTGTTTTGGTATTGGTGATGCTTGGAAATTGTTGAAGCCTTGGGCTGTCAAGGTGAAGGAAGAGATGAATTCACCAACTGAACCTCCTAGCCCTACAAGTCCAGCTATGGAAAATGTTGTGGAAGAAGTTGAAAAAGCACCTGATGTGTTGGAAATGACAGTCAAAGCAAAGGTGGAGAAGTTCATGAAGACTGGCTTTGTCGCTGTGGATGCAACACCTACTGATGAAGAGTATCTTGGCTGCAAGCTGTAACTCTTTGAATGTTATGGGGTACCTTTTTGTTTTACTTGACTGTACTTTGTATTGGTTTTTGTTGTGATGTATTTTTGGTAATTTGTGTTCATTGCTTATGACCTTGAAACCACCAGGAAAAAGATTATGGCCCAAGTGGTGGCTGCAAGCACAGCTACAAAGCCTAAGAGGCCTTTACCAATGCCACCCAGTGAGCCAAAATCCAAGAAGGCAAAGCCTGCCAGTGAGCCAGCGTCCAAGCATGCAAAGTTTGACAGTGCACCCTGGAATCAAAGCCTGAGCAGTGGCAGCAAGGACTATGAGGTGAAGAATGACAATGAGGTGCAAAAGGGCAATGAGGAGAAGAAGGAGGTGTCATGGTTTGATACCAAGCAATATGAAACTCAGAATGCAGCCTGGTATACTCCAGTGAAAAAAACAGAGAAGAAGGGCATGCTAGTGGATGGATGAACCGCTGTGCCATCCTGATAGCAAGACTGCAAAGAAATGAGAAGGCAGAGATTGATGAACTCTTGAGGCAGCACCCTGAAACAAATAGATTCTTAAGTTTTTTTATACAATAAAAAACATGTCATTGTTTGAGGTATGTACTCTTGCAGTATGCTTCAAATTTGCCAAGGTATACAGCACATGACAAGATGGCCAGTGTGCTCAAGAAGGTGCACTACCACTTGGAGAACTATGGAGGAGTTGATTGGAGGCGTATCTACCATGATGCAAAATAGTTGGATAGCAAATAACTTAATATATGTAAAAATAAAGCACTGGCAAAACACACCGTATGAAGCATCATGATAGATGAATTGGCCATTGCCTATGCCATTTTGGCTGTAAGTGGCAAGAACTTGTGCCTGCACTGTTGTGAAAAAAGGCTGCTTGGAGCTGCTGCTCTTTCAAGCCCTTGAGTGGCTCTTTTAAGGCTGGTTTTCAGTGGTGGTAAGCCCTAGTGGCTTTTGGTTCTTGCAAGCCCTAGTGGCTTTTGGTT